TTGCCAGAGATTGTGCATCTACCACCTCTCTGGGCATCCTGTTCAGTGTTTCTCCACCCTCATTGTAGAAAATTTCTTCCCTTTATCTACTCTGGATCCACCCTCTTTTAGGTTAAAACCATCACCCCTTGTCCTATTGATAAAGATCCTGCTAAAAATTTTGTCCCCATCTTTCTTATAGGCTCTCTTTACACACTGAAAGGTCACAATAAGGTCTCCCCGGAGCCTTCTCTTTTCCAGGCTGAACAACCCCAACTCTCAGCCTGTCCTCATAGGAGAGGTGTTCCATCCCTCTGACCATTTTTGTGTCCCTCCTCTGGACCTGTTGCAACAGGTCCATGTCTGTCTTGTGCTGAGGACTCCAGAGCTGAATGCAGCACTGCAGGTGGGGTCTGGCCAGAGCAGAGTAGAGGGGCAGAATCACCTCCCTCGACCTGCTGGCCACGCTTCTCTTGATGCAGCCCAGGATATGGTTATTGGCCTTCTGGGCTGTGAGTGCACATTGCTGGCTCATGTCCAGCTTTTCAGCCAGAGGTCAAGTAGCGCTCTGAGCACAGCGAGAGTTACCACCTGCAGCCAAGACAGAGAAAGGCTTGTGAGTCTTGTGTGGGACAGCTCAGTGCTCTGGTTTTGATGGCTAAAGAGCTTAACTTAAAAGTGCCAGCTTTGCATGCATTGACAGTGAAGTTAGTAGATTTTTTGAGACTCTGAATTTGAGACGCTGAAAAAAACAGTTTTTGTTTGTTTGTTTGGTCGTTTGTGGGTCTTACCTGCTTGTAAACATGTCACACAATTTTTGCACTATCCTGTTGAGTATTTGATGCTTTACAATGGGAGTAGAAGATGCTTCAGTTCATAACAAGTGTGTGTCCCCAGGCTAGCACATGTTGTTAACAGCTAACACTTCTGCATTTTTTTTCCTGTATCTGAAGTGACTTTCTCACTTTATTCTACAGGTTTTAATCACATTTTACCGTATTTCTATGTGATATATTTCATCTGCTTGCTTGTTCATCGAGAAGCACGTGACGAACATCATTGTAAGCAAAAATATGGCTTGGCATGGGAAAAGTATTGTCAGCGTGTACCATACCGCATATTTCCTTACATCTACTAGAGCACTCCAGATGCCTGATTTGCAAATTACTTCTAGTTTCTTTGCAAATAAAAATATACCTCTTACCTTTGCACTTGGTCTATTTGTTATTTAGGCTTTTTTTTTAAAAAAAAAAAGAAAAAAAAGAAAAAAAAATTGACCAAACAGTGGAGTGCATCAGCAGGTAATCAAGTAATCTTAAATCCATGAATTATGTGAACTGACTGTCTGTGACTTCAATTTTTTAAAAATTGTGAATTTTAAGAAGTCTAGGAGCCCTAATTTTCAAGTTAAATTTTATTTAGAATCCTGAGTTTACATTTTTTATTGCATTTAATTAAGCACTGTGATGTAAAGTATATTATTTTCTTAATACAATAAATACAGAAATTCCATCCAGTTCATTGTTGGGTGTTGCTTGTACCATCTACCCTTCAGCTGTCTGCCTTAGCTGCCTGAATCAGAAGCAGCAGGGTCTTTTTGGGCAGTGGAGCTGGAAGCAGAGGATTCAGCCCCCGTGAGGCGCCTGTGCTGCTGGCAGCGCTGCCCTGCAGCCCCAGGCCCAGAGCTGGCACAGCTCAGCTGGGTGCTTGTCCTCCTCCTGGCTTGTCATTACCCGGGTTTTTTGGTGAGGGAGGCTCAGGTGGCCCCTCTTGAGGAACGGATGGGATCAGGAGGAGTGAAGGGGCAGAGCTGTCCCCTCCCCACATTCTTTCAGCAGGGGCCAAGGGCGACTGGCCCAAGAGAGAAGCCAGGCTGCTGGCTCAGACTGCTGAAGGTAGATGGTACAAACACTCGTGTCGGCCGTGGGCAGAGCTGTGGAAGCGAGCAGCGAAGCCCAGCCCTGCCTCCGGCACTGAACACAGGGAAGCAGAAGGTGCAGTGGGTGCAGAGGTGACAGAAAAGAATGAAATGACCGCAGTTGGCTTATCCTGCTCTTTGTAAATTATGTCTTAATGTACCATAGCGTTTGCCCAGTGTGTATAATAAAGCCTCCGCGTTGTTGCTGTACAGTGTTTGGATTTGAAAATGCGATAGCTTTTTTAGAAACAGGAAAAATGAGTAAGTAAATCCATTTCCAGTAATTTTTTTTTTTAATGTTCATTGAATAAAGGTTTTTGTAAATTAATGTATTAATTCTTGAAACAATTGAAGTGTTCATGGAAATATTTGTATTGACAGAGATGCTATGAAAATATAGGAAATGCTCCTCAATCCAAAGTTGTTGTTTTTGTTTTTGTTTTTTTTAATTTGGCATTGCTACCTCATACGTAGGTTTTGCCTTTTGTACTGTTGCAGATAGAGAAAATAGCTATTTTTTTGCTATTGCTATTTAAACCAACATTTTTTTTACATGAGCCTGTGGTTAAACTCAACCACTTTCTAATATATTTTTGTATATATTTGACTTTTTAACTAATGTATGTGTTGTAGTCACTAGTTGTGTTCTTTGTCTAACTGGCTGTAAATCAGATGCCCTTGCAGTATTTACTTCATACGTAGAATAATTTTATATTTTACTGAAATAATCTTGCATTAATTAACTAGTTTTTATTCTGTCATCACAACTGAGAGCTTTTCACATACTTTATACAATAGGTTTATAGCACAGAATTGTCAAAAAAAAAAGCTTATTAGAATCTTAACCATAGTGCAGGTTCCTCTAACACTTGCTTGCAGGATAATAAATTGGAATGTTGCTATTATTCATCACTTATTTTCAATTCTTTTCAAATGTTGATGTAAATGAAATTAGCATGTGGTTTTTTTAATACAAGAACCCTCTATTTTGTACACAGGCATTTTTTAAAGAGAATTGTACATTTGAAGTGTATATAATGTAGCTTGACTGTGACGGTCTCTGAAAAATCTATGTTGGTGTTATAAGGAAAATGTTTTAAGCCAAGTACTTTGACTCCTGGAAGAAAGCAGCAGTGCCTGTAACAGCATTGACGAGCATTCACCCCTGTGAAGCAGCAGATTCAACTGGGATACTTTTTTTCAATGGTTGCTCAATGAATTGATGGGAAATAGAGCAATCCCTTAACTGCACCAGTGTGCAGCTGGTGTCTTAAAACGTACTGAAGGGGGGGACAGACAGTTGTAACTTCTTAGCCTGTAAAGCAGGAGATGCTACTGCCATCCCAGCTGCATCTGCTGCCGCACCAAGGCTGTTACCGTGTAATTCAGAGCCCTTGTCTTTCCGAAACAGATCTTGACCAGTAACTTCCGTTTATTTACATACTGAGTTTTATGTGAATTTCATTTTGAAGCAATTGTTTTTAATACAAACAAGCCTAAAAACTAAAATAAAGCTTTTGCTTAAAATTAAGTAGTCCATTTCTTTTTCCAATTCAGGGTGGGGTCTGGGAAAAAAAGAAAGACATTGATTTATTAAGTACATATGCAAGTTTGCTGAAGCTCCTTCTCTGTCTGTGGGTTGATAATTGCAGGCTCATGTATGGTGCTTCTCTTAGCCTGTCTGGGAATTTTAAGGAAAGGAGATCTCAGTTTCTCCCTCTTCTGCTGCTTCTCTTTATGCAAAAGCTTACAGATCCACCATCAGCCTGAAAACATGTTTGTTCTTTGAATCAGTTCTGTCTGTGTCAGCTGCTCTGCTCACCTGCCCTGACTGAAGAAAATCAAAGCATTTCTAGTAGGTGGTACAGCAGGGGAAGGAAAAGCAGGCTTGGAAAATGCAGTGGGTAGTAACTTCGGTGCTACTAAGTTAGGAAAAAGTGATTATCTTTACTGGAAAAGATGATGGCTCCAGAGAAATGAAAAAGGCATCGTTAAACCTGTCTGCTAATTGTCAGCGAGGTAGCTGGCACAGCAGGGTCTCTGCTGTCCTGAGTCTGCCCCTGTCCTTGCTGCTGTGGTAGAGTAACTGCTCCTGCAAAGGGAACTGATGAGCACGGAGGTGGCAGTACCCTGGGTGTTCAGGGAGCCCTGGGGAGTGGGCAAGGCTAATGCTTTTTACCTCTTTTTGTTCCTCTCTTCTGTTAATCCAAAACCCCAAATTATTTTTAATTGTAAAAAGGCAGAATTAACACTCATTTTGCCTGTATTCTACTATATTCCCCCCACAGCTTCTATTAGAAGTCAAAACCAAACAACAGCTTCATGTAATCATGGGCTACAGCCCAAGGGGCATGGCCCAGGAAATAAAGTTTGTGCTGCTTTGACCTAATGTGAACAAGACTCTAGTGGAAATGTGATACATAAGGAAGAGTCACAATAATTTTGTCTACAGAAAGTTTCTTACCACAGGTAAGAAAAACATTTGCTTAAGTTACATTCAGAACAGCTCATCAAAACCGTATGGGAAGCACAGGTCTTACCTCCTGTGGAGTGAAAGCTGCTGCAGGGAGTGGGCATAAAAACCTCTCCAATGCAGGGATGGAGAACATCTGGCACTGTCTGTGTATAAACCAAAAACTCCCAACACTTTTCTGGTGAGGAAATTCCCTAAAAGAGAAGAAAATACTTTGATAGTGCTCTTATGTTTTTAATATTTCAAAAAAACCTGTGTTGACTATTTGGGGGTTTTTTTGTAAAAGTTGTTTTAAAAACATCAGTTCTACCTTTTTGTATATAAAAAATGTAAGCAGTAACAATGTTATGGAATACCAGGAGAAAATACCTCATGCCCCATCACAGGAGTGGGGGAAACACCCAAGTAGGGACAGGAAATGGACACAATCCATTTGTGGTCCCAGGCAGGTGGACTACAGCAAAACCTTCTGATTTCTTTGGCAGCGTCGACAACAGACAGACACTGGAATAATGTGGCAGTTTCTCTGTTTATATCGGTTTATCACAGCCTTCAGGAAATGCAACTTTGCTAGACTAAAAATACTCAATTCCCACAAAAATAAACGGGAGCAGAAAGTCTCAGCAGCTACTAAGACTGTATCTGTGGAAGTGCAAATCTGAAAACAATCACTGAGGACATTGGATCTGAGCTTATTCTGCAACAACCCTTCTTTCTACAATGGTGATTTCTTCATCTTATTTAACAAGCATTCAGATCTGTTTCAAGGCTCGTGAGTGTCTCTGCAGCTTCCACGTCTTCTGTCTCCTGCTTGAGGAAAAAAAATCTTTTTGGTAGGAAAACACTTTCTTGACAGAATTTCAAGAAAATATGACAGAATTACTGAGTGACTGATGACTCTGAAATGAGCCAACAAAGAATGTCACTGGGCTTCACTGTGGCTGAACCTCTTGCATGGCACACGCACACACACACACACACACACACATATATATGGAAAGAGCAGACTGGCAAGACTGAAAAAATAGAGAAGTTTGTATACACACTCATGGTTCTTTAGCCATGAAGTGACAAGGGGGAAAAAAGGAAAGTTTTAAGCTTTCATTTTAATTTTTAAAAATTAAAATAATAATTAAAAAAATACTGTATTATGTATATATCTATATATATAGAATTAAATTTTGAAGTGAAATAACACAAGATTACACTAAAGATATGGAAATATACTGAATAAAAGCAACAATGTATTTTGAACTACCACTGGTTTTGGTTCTATCTGAAGACCCAGGACAAGTAACTCATCCTGCATTTCTGCAACTGAAAGTGTTGCTTCTATGTTTGTTTAGACCACTATGAAAACAATCCTCAAGAATAAAAATAATTACAATGTGCATTTCACAGTTGTATTCTTTTAAGTTTGCTATTAGAAATAATAGCCAGATTCATCCCACTGTTTTGACCAGCTTTAATACTGAATAACATCTGCTGGTGGGATGAAAGCTGAGATTCTGTGACAGTGGGAAACTGGCAAAAGCTCCCCTCCATCAGCTCAGAGGACATCACAATCGGCTGCACAGCTGCAGCACGGCCTGCAGAGGTAACTGAGGATGTTCTACTCCTGCAGTAAGTCAGAATTATAAATAATTGTGTGTGTCCCTGCCCTTGTCAAATTATAGGGAGATATAATTTACAATTTACACAGGCTTAACTACCCACCAAATGCACTTAGGCTGTTTTTGAAATAATT